AAAGTATATTACAGGAGATATTCAGTTGTTTTAATCATAAAATGGATTTCTATTTGACAACTAGTGCCAGTACATTTCCGCGTATCAAGATCATCTGGTTGTTGTTCATTACTCGGTTGCTGTTTTATTTGTGGTTGTTTTAGCGATTGTTGCCGACCCTGCTGTGGTTGTTGCTGTGTTCCTTTAGGTGGCTGTCTCTGTTCTGGCAATGCTGTAGCCCCTTGTTGTTCATCACTCGGTTGCTGTTTCCTTTGTGGCTGTTTCTGTGATTGTTGCCGACCCTGCTGTGGTTGTTGCTGTTTTTCTCTAGGTGGCTGTCTTTGCTCTGGCAAAGCCGTAACCCCTTGTTGTTCATCACTCGGTTGTTGTTTCCTCTGTGGCTGTTTCTGTGATTGTTGCCGACCCTGTTGTGGTTGTCTCTGCTCTGGCAAAGCCGTAGCCCCTTGTTGTTCACCTGTCTGTTGCTGGAGCCCACCCGGGACACTTTCACTCTGCCGTTGTTGCTGCCCTCCTCTCCCCTTGCCTCGCTTCCTACCCCGTCCTTTCCCCTTCTTTCCTCCTTGACCTTGATCACTCATGATTTTCAATTGCTGTTTTGTAGCCTAATTATTTATGCTTTCCATGAAACCATAATTTTATTCTTTTCATGAAACCATAGTGACGTAACTGGCCTATAAACAAAGAACGATTGTTTTCACATTTGTTTCTTGGAAGTGCCATGAGTCTTTTTCGAGGAAAAGTTAACAATTATTCACCGAAGGCGAAGTGATTACCGGTGAATCGAGCTTGAGCTCAGTGATTACGACTCACTGAGCCTGAGTTTTAGTATAAATTTTTAACGAATAAACAAAATATCCAAATATCAGTTTAATTAAAATTCAGAAATAAAACTGTTTTCGGCTGGTTCGCGGTTACTGTTTTAGTGCTGCAGTGTTTCTAGCGCTTCCTGTGTGATTTTATTGCTTTATAATATTACAAAGTTGTTTTTTCTCAATTTCTGCTAATATAAACACAAAGATGGAATGACTTTTTCACTCAGACTTAGAATCAAGAAATAGTTTCTGTTTAATAGCTTTAATTTGTTCAGGAAATGGCTGAGAAAATTGGTAAAATAAAATGCAAAACTATTCCTCGAAATAAAGTTTTTTTAAATACACTTTTCACTTTACATTAAGTTTCGAAAACACAATACAGCGTCAGGACACCATACAGCAAAATAAAAACAAGACATATCAAAAGAAAAAGTATCGTACAAATTGAGATATCTGTAGCCTAGGCTATAGGATACAAAACAAAATGGTTTTAAAATAATTTAGTTTCTACACAGTAAAATAATAAAGAAATGCTATCTTTCGGGTTAAACACAAAATTGTGTGGTTCTTTCGTTTTCTGGGGACGATTTTTGTATCTGCGCAGCAGATATAAAATGCGTGGGATTTGTCTCTTTTATTTAGTCTCATAGCTTGGAAAAGTTTTGAAAGCTCGCAGGTGAAAATCTTTCACGCTCGCGCGTGGCGTTCGGGTGTGCATATACGAATCTACTTCGTTTATTATTATGACAAATTTGTTATTATGTCACTATAACGCTAAGCTATGAAACTAGTACATAAAAGAGACAAATACCACGCATTTCTGGGCTGCCTATGCTTTAGCTGGAACTATAATATACATCGCCATATTGATTTTCTTCAACTCGCCCCAGGAATTGCCCGCTGGTTAGCGCATGCTCAGACAAATTACCCACCTGCATGTTTAAAAACAATACTTTTTTGCATAACGAAGTATGCTGTCCTTTGTAATTGCCTAATAAAGATTACAGAAGAAAAGTAGGTGGAAAAAATATTTTCATAATTAAAAATGTTTTGCATATGTTGATTATATGTACGATAAACAAGATTGTCAAGCTATCAGTGTGACATCCCAGTTTATGTATCAAGAATGACGTCACAACTTAGTTGACCTATGGAAACCTTTGTTACAGTTATGGAAATACCACTGCAAGTGGAATTCATAGCAGCTATTTTATTCATCATGAAAACCAGAACCTCATTATTTTATTCAATACTAGAATCTAACATTAAACGTTCATTTTCAATTGAAAACCTTGTTCTACTGCATGTATATAATACATATACTCGTGATATTAATTAAAACTATTTTATTTTGTGCAAGTGTAGTATTGTTTGCACGAAATTTGTATTTCCTCACATGACCATACACAAACTGTAATACTTAGTTTTTGGTCACATCAGAAGACCCAACTTGGCTCACGATACGAAAAGACACTATGAACTCTGTGACGATACACAAACTGTAATACCGCTTAGTTTTTGGTCACAGAAGACCCAACTTGGTTCACGATACGAAAAGATACCTACGAACTCTGTGATGATACACAAACTGTAATACTTTGTTTTTGGTTACATCAATGATATACAATTGGTTCACATACGACGGACACCCTCTAGAACTCTACGCCAACTGTTTCTTCCAGGAACGACTTGTCTTGACATTTGTCAACACGGAGGTCATCCATGTGATGCGAAGGTGTGGGAGGGGGTTAAAAATTGGTGAGGTTTTCTGAAACTGTAATGCTTCGTTTTTAATCACATCAGAAGTCCAAACTCGGTCCACAATACGAGAAGACACCTATGAACTCTGTGATGATACACAAACTGTAATACTTAGTTTTTGATGACATCAGAAGACCCAACATGGTCCAACTTGGTCCACGATACGAGAAGACATCTATACACAAACTGTAATACTTAGTTTTTGGTTACATCAATGATATATAATTGGTTCACATCCGACGGACACCCTCTAGAACTCTACGCCAACTGTTTCTTCCAGGAACGACTTGTCAGTCTTGACATTTGTCAACACGGAGGTCATCCATGTGATGCGAAGGTGTGGGAGGGGGTTAAAAATTGGTGAGGTTTTCTGAAACTGTAATGCTTCGTTTTTAATCACATCAGAAGTCCAAACTCGGTCCACAATACGAGAAGACACCTATGAACTCTGTGATGATACACAAACTGTAATACTTAGTTTTTGATGACATCAGAAGACCCAACATGGTCCAACTTGGTCCACGATACGAGAAGACATCTATACACAAACTGTAATACTTAGTTTTTGGTTACATCAATGATATATAATTGGTTCACATCCGACGGACACCCTCTAGAACTCTACGCCAACTGTTTCTTCCAGGAACGACTTGTCAGTCTTGACATTTGTCAACACGGAGGTCATCCATGTGATGCGAAGGTGTGGGAGGGGGTTAAAAATTGGTGAGGTTTTCTGAAACTGTAATGCTTCGTTTTTAATCACATCAGATGTCCCAACTTGGTCCGCAATACGATAAGATACCCATGAACTCTGCGATGATACACAAACTGTAATATCTAATTAGTTTTTGACCACATCAGAAGACCTAAACTTGGTTCACGATGCGAAAAGACACCTATGAACTCTGTGACGATACACAAACTGTAATACTTCGTTTTTGGTTACATAAGAAGTCCCAACTAGGTTCACGAAACGGCGAACACCTACGCGAACTCTGTGACCATACACAAACTGTACAATATTTAGTTTTGGTTACTTAAGAAATCCCAAATTGGTCCACAATACGAGACGACACCTATGGACTCTGTGACCATACACAAACTGTAATACTTTTTGGTCACATCAGAAGTCCCAACTTGGTCCACGATACCGCGAACACCTTTGGAATCTGTGACGATGCACGATTTTTTTTAGTTTTTAGTTTTTTGGCATCCAATGATAAATGATATATAGTTGGTTCACAATATAATTTCAGGAATGACTTGTCTTATACACGATAAACATATTTGTTTAGCAAATACAGATATAAAACTTACTTTTTTGCTTTGATCCAACTTCAAACTACGTAAATATGTTGCCAATACTATACTGTAAGTTGGGAGTACTCTTCAGTCCTTATACAAACAGCTATATACAAAACTATAAAAAATATGCACAACGTCAACGTATAAATTGTGTAACTTCCGTTAATTAGATATTAACATAAGAATGGAATATTGACATCAGAATATTTAATAAGCTATAAACGCTTGCGCAAGAACCTTTTTAGGTTAGATATGACTAAGAAGCTAAGGTTATAACATGTAGATGTACAAGACATAATTAAGATATTCTACACGATGTGGAATAAATCCCTGGATAACGTCAAAGTGATTGTAATTATATATATGTATATATGTGTGCGAACGTTTAATATTTGTAGACCATATTGTTCATACTTAAGTGTTTGTAAATTTGTAGAAACCGTACCGTTACGTACCGAACAACGCTATGTGAATAAAGTATTAAAAGGAACGAGTTGATCACAAGTTAATTAAGCAGACTTTAGCATCTACAAATTGTATGCTCTTTCATGTGATTATGCATCTGATATTCAGCATGACAATACAGTTAGTTAAATAGTTTATTTCGGTAAACTAGTTTCAAACCCTGGTAAACGGAATTCCCGACTTCATACTAACTTGCTTTACAAACCGCAGCTAGCATGAAAACCGGGCTAGTTCGTTCAGTATGGTTCTCAAGCAGGGCATTTGTCAAATTTTTCCGTCTACTCTACAGGGTGTCCTAAAAAAAAGTACCCTGTACGTGCTACCTCCTGCAGGTCAACCTCGCAACACCCACAGTTCAAGTATGCATGCAATTCAAATTTTAAGATGATTCGATATTTCAATCTGTTTCCAGCCGACAATTTTTGCCTAAAATTACCTTTCGGAAACGTGGTTGGGAAACAATATTTCTGGTTTTACTCACCTTAATTTGGGAAACAGCTAGTTTCCGTGTGTCGTCTGATTTTGATACAACTCCACTCGGCCATATGATGCGATGTGGTTGTCCCATGGAACATAAACATCCCGCTTGAGAGATAGATATAGAAAACTTTATTTAGGCACACTGACCACGTCAACATATTATGACATCTTGTCCTCATTGTTCCAACTCGTAGTTTCAGCTGGTTACTGAATGAAACATTTCATGTACTTTATTTTGAAGACTACGTACACGAATACTAGTAATCCAAACATTTTTCAGTCCAGATTTCGTAGTTTCTTTGAGAATTGTCAAATAATTACTACCAGTCATGTTTAATAGTGTTAGTCAGTTTTCCAGTGGCGTCCAATTTTCTAATTCCTTATTTCCATAAAGCTCCACCCCACAGTGTGGACTATAACGATTTCACTTGAGTCTGACAAATGTCCAATGTGCTCGGACATTAGCTAATAATGGTCAGCCAGTCTTTCAATAATTGATTCATAGCTCGTCCTGATCACATCCTGCATGATCAGTCACATTTCTTGTCTACCTAATAATGGTCGGCCAGTCTTTCAATATTTACATTGATAGCTCGTCCTGATCACATCCTTCATGATCCATCACATTTCTTGTCTAATGACTTTTGGTAAGCAATCCCAACGATCCATGCAACCGAAAAGTTCTAAGTCCCACCGATGTTGTTTTCGAATTTTCATCGCAGTGAAGCGAGGAAAATGTTTCATGTTCTTTCTCTTGCTTTTATGCTTTTTGAACAGTGGTGATGAAAAAATATACCTTTAACTGAAGAGGAAACAGTCAAAATGTACGTGCGGAATAAAATCAATCGGTCATTCAGTGTTTTTATTCGGCAGTTAACCGAATCCAAACTGCCATACTATTACGATGCTGCACAACCGGAAAAACTGTGCAGTTGTAAAGGACTACTCCATTTTGAGATATAAAGGCAGCAGACCACCGCACCATCGCAAAATGTAACTTCTCTAAGTTTTGCAGAACTAAGAACATTGGGGTGATCCATTTAGATACAATACTTTGTCACGAAGTCTATGAATAAATGAATGAGATCTCATTCTCTAAGTCTATGAATATATGAATGTAATCTCACTCTCTAAGTCTATGAATATATGAATGTAATCTCCAGTCTTCTGGAACTTGAGAGCTTCTTAGATACAATTTTCATATTAGTAGCCTATCAACATTTAGTACTTCTCGTTTTTCCATGCAGCTTTTTCTGGCATCTAACTACCAACGATATCCACTTGGTCCACGATACACTGTGCCTTGTGGACTCCGCGACGATCCACACTAAGTGCCAGCAAGCCTTTTCGAGAAGAATAATTAACTGTTTATCTCTATATTCATCCAAATGAAATCCATCGGATTAAATGTGCTACAACGCTCGATGTCACCGAGTTACCACGCATGACAAAGAAGCATGGGGTCATCTATTTAGTACATATGCATTGGAGAGGATATGATTGGTACGTTGGTTGGTCCATCGGATCTTCTTGTAGAAGGGAGGGATACCAAACAGGCAAAGAAACGAAATAGGATTTAAAATAGACGAACGTTTGCGTGTGTACTAAATGAGTGACCTAACTATAGACCCCTTACATGACGACGCCATATAAATACAACTACCGGAATTAAAGCACTTATTGAGTAATAATCTTGATAAAACAGATATATTGTGGTGTTTTAAGTACAAATATGGAAATTTTCATTCGCACTGGTTTGGAATAAACTAACAATTTTGAGTACAATTTCGCGAGGTTGAAACTTAAAATTTCCATATTTTTACTTAAAACATTAGATTTTGACTGTTTTTCATGGATATTACTTAACAATTATTCGCCGAAGGCGAAATGATTACCGGTGAATATTCACCGAGACGAAGTCGAGGTGAATATTCACGGTAATCACTGAGCCTGAGGCGAATAATTGTTTTAGTATAAATTTTTAATGAATAAAACAAAATATCCAAATATCAGTTCAATTAAAATTTAAAAATAAAACTGTTTTCGGCCTGTTCACGATATACTGTCACTAATATAGTGTTGCAGTGTTACTTGTACGCACACGCTTTCAAAATGGCTTCTTGTGTGACATTTATATTGCTTTCTAGTTATTTAATACAAAGTTTGTTTTTCTCGAATTCTGCTTATTCTTAGAATACATGCATATACACACAATAACGGAATGACTTTTTTACCAGACTTAGAATTAAAAAATACTTTCTGTTTAGCATTAATTTTTGGAGGAAATGGCTGAGAAATTTGGTAAAATGAAATGTAAAACTATATCGATTCGTTCGAAATAAAGTAATTGAAACACTTTTCACTTTAGACGTTTCGAAAACACAAATCACAATACAGCGATCAGAAGACCATGCAGCACAATACTGAAAAACATGCATGACATATCAAAAGAAATAGTATCGTACAAATTGAAAAATCTATAGGATACAAAACAAAATGGATTTAAAAGAATATCACGGCAAGGTTTTTCCCAATAGTCGGGACAGTTTTTGCTATTTGTTTGAGGTGGATGTTTCGGAGTTTTAGATAAGTTTTAAATTGTCCGTGAATATGTTTGCCGGACACAGTAAAATAATAAAGGAATCCTACCTTTCAAGTTAATTATAACATTTTGTGCCTCAGTTTCGTTTTCTGGGTGAAATTTTTTCGATTGATTTTGTCGATTTTGAAACCAAATATGCCGAATCATTCTTTTTGAAAAGCATTATTTACTAGTCTGCTAGTAAGTAATGCGTCAGATTTACTAGTCAACTAGCCAATCAGAACGCGCGAAAGCTCATTTGATATGTAAAATTTATACTAATACATAATATTATGTGCTTTGATTCTGATAGTTGCAGTAGAATGACGTCATCATGTAAGGGGACTAGAGTTAGTCGACGATAATCTTAATGAACATTACGTCATCCTTTATATACTGACGGTTATTCAAGCTTTCAAGAGGCACAAACTCTGGGAAACCTGACGGCACATTCATATCCAACTCTGGACGTTGAAAAGATGAACTTTGAGGGTCGGAATGAAACACATCAATCATGTGATCTCCGTTTCCTTGATCCAACAGCATCATGGTAATCTTCTTCTGAAATGGCCAGGTTAGAAGAGCGTCGTTGTCGCCTTTTAATAGCCATAAAATGGTAAATTAAAACAAGCTCGTAATACTACTACAATGGGCCCCTTAGTACAACAATAGCATGATCCAATGATTAGAATGTTTCATTGTCTTTCTATTGTTCTGAAAACCATTGTTATTCATGCAATTCAGTAGTCACCCAATTTTGGACTGACATTTATGCAAAGGGCCTAGAAGTTTTATAGACGAAGAAATATACAACATTACGCCATGATATAGGGTTAACCCTTTAAGTGACAATGCGCCCCCTGATGTGCCCTACTTTATTATTTTACTATGTTAAACACAAGACAATTTTACTCGTCAATAGTAGGGTGTTGGAGCTCAATGGGTTAAAATGACAAGGGGTCAGTTCTAGTGTAGGTTATTACTTATCGGCGATAACAAGCAAGCTAAGGATTGTGAGAGCTTAAAACCACCGGAAGTTCTGCTTGTATTTTCAGATCGTTGTAATCTCTCTCAAACTTGTTAAAGTGGCGAGCTACTTTTGTTAGGGCAAAGAGGACTCAGGGCCTTTTCTGCTAGCTACCGATCCTAAATTAGGGAATTATTTACCAGAAACTATTAAAACTCTGGCTAATTTTAAAGCTCAGTTCATTAAAAACATATTTGCTTTCAAAGATACCTGCAAATTAAAAACTAAATAAGAAATGTATTATTCACTTTTTACAAGTCAAACTGGATGTTTTACGAAATCTTAGTTCGGATTGCTTCTGTCTAATGCCAAACAATTTTACTCATTCAAGCTAGGGGAGAGTCCATGCAATCATGGGTTAATCAGATTATCTGCTTATGACAAGTTAACCCAGTTAAGTTGCATTGCGCACGCATGTACCCTACTTTTTTTACTCTACCTAACACCAGATGATTTTACTCATCAAGGGGAGAGCTAAGCAGTCTCAATGTGTTAACCAAATTATTGAGTGGTTGTCAGCGCTCTCTCCTTGATGAGTAAAATCATCTGGCATTAGACGGAGTCAAATAATAAAGTGGGTCACCTCAGGGTGCATTTAAATGCCACTTGAGGTGGCTCGATACAGTTTTCAAAAATTCAGGTGTTCAACACTTTGACATGTTCAAAGTAAACTACGCATTTTTGGGATTTATTCAGCAGATATTGGGTTTTTTATATATTTTGATATCTGTACTTTCAAATTATATTAGTTTTAGTAACAGATAGTTTGTTGCTATGACAGTAAAATTTTTTTGGCATTACAGAATTTTTTGTATAATGAAAGTATTTAGCAGTGCAATACAGCATGCAAAATTTCAACATACTGTAGGTCACCAGACAAAATAATGAGATATAGTGCATTGTTTTTCTAAAATGGAAAATTCTAATGACGTCAGCAATTGACATAAAACACTATAGAACACGCGCAATGACGTGAGATGGCGTGAGCAACTGTTCATGTCAGGTCACTTTAGAAGTTCTTTCATTTTGTTAATCAGTTTCAGCAACCTGCACGTAAGAATGGTCACCCAGTTTTGAGTTCGCAATTCTTGAGCAGAGTTTTTGTGATAACTATTTGGAGCCACCTTAAGTGGGTAACATTTAACATTGTGGCTAAATTTTTGGCCCTGCTGACGCAGGGAGTGATCGAAAGCCAAATAAGTAAACCAAATAATTTAAATTCCCACACTATAAATTTATTACACAAATCATAAGTAATCAACTCACCTCTAATGACAACAAAAAACAGCGACAAATGCGATCCTTTTCCACTACCATACCCATTCAAATATATCACCGCACACATTTTATATCCACGCAAATCAGTGTAGAAGGGTCGACTAGATAAGGTCGTCTTGACTCCATGAATAGCATCTTGCCGTTTCTTCTCGTAGTCTTCAATTTTCCAAAGTAAAATGCCATTATGGATTTCATGGGCTGGTGGACCTCTTGGGAATTCTAAATCGGCAATCCTCCTTGTCTGTTTAGCAAGAGACTCATCCATTTGATCCATCCTACTTTGCAAACGATCAATAATTGAGATCTTATCTTTCACTTCTTTCTCTAAAATCACATGCCGTCTTTGTAAATTGCCACATGCAGTAGTAAGTTCCGACACTTGTTCTTTAAGTTCACGTACTTCACGTTGATCATTCACAGCCATCATGACATTCTCCACATCCTCACCACTAGATCGTCGATAAACATTGGCAACCAGAGTTTCCAAGCCAACAATGTTGCATGCTATAATGATCAGCACAGTAAAAAAGGCGACAACAAACAGCACTGCCGCCACTAGCGTGACATCAAGACATATTAATCCATTTAAAACTTGAAGCAGTCCCTATAAAACATATATAATGATAAATATTTATTATAAATATTTATTGTAGAGAGCAGTCAGAGACTGCATTAACCTCTGCCAGTGCATCGTGGCTCAATGGTAGAGACATTGTCATATGTTTTGGTTAACCCATTTTAAGCTGCAGAGCGTTATAGACAAGTAAAAAATAAGTAGGGCAAACTCGCGCAATGCAGCTTAATGGGTTACTATACGTTTAATAGCTAGTCTTGAATTTTTCAAACTATAAATGTCTTTGAAAATGGTTTCCATATATCAGTAAGGGAACCAAAATGCCAGCCAAAATATAACTATTAATTAAATGTAAAACAATTTGGATGAATTTCTTGTTTTTTATACAAAGGTGAAAGTTTTAGAAACAAGGCTATATATTATCTGCATTTTACAACATTTCGCAATGAAACTTTGGAATATATGCTCCAAACGCTCCTCGAGTACCTCATCGAGTTGCTGTATGCTGACCATTTTGAATATTGATATTACTGTTGATTGACATGACATTAGAGCTATAGCCAATGAAAAGCTAGCTTTCGCAAGCGAACGCTATATACAAAAATCGCCACCCCGCCAATAAAAAACCCATTAATTTCTCAGAAAAAGGCTAAATCCGTAGAGAAATTGGGGGGGGGGGATACATGTTACATCCTCGAAGCTGAAACTGATTAAATATGTCTCGACTGAGGAAAACGACGATATACTGGAGGAACTTGATTTGTAAAATCTCGTTAAAGCAGTTGTGGATATGGTTCCAAGAAGAATAGATTTAGTTTAGATTTACATGTATGCATTATCATAGCATGAATATTCTTCTCAGACTTATATGCTGTATCCTAATTAAAAAAGCAACGCAATTTTGAGAATGTGGAAATGCTGTCTCATAGAACCAGTAGAATGATTTAAATGCAACATTTCTGATCAAAATCACATTGGGATTTTCTTCCCCCAGCATCGCAGAGGGGAAATAAGGTGACACTGACCGGCTCCTCCTGTTTTTCAAGGTGACTTTTCCAATTTATTTAATTCCGAGTAGAAAATTAGAAATATCTGGGAAAATTTATGTCTTCGATGTAATTTATAATCTTCGGAATTCTACAAGATTTCACCCCCAAAATGCTTGAAATCGCATTTCTGGACTCTAGATTTCAAAATTTTCCAGGGGGTGAATGCCCACGGACCCCACTAGATGTTCTTGTGCCATCGGCATTCGCTTCGCCCCCCCCCCAAAAAAAAATGAAGGCCTGGCTATGCCACTGACAAAAATTTATCAGAAGCAACGTACTGCAGGGACCTATAAAACCCCTAACCA